TGGGTGATGCCCTCCGCACGACAGAAGCGACACCTGAGGCGAACTCGCCACCCCGGTCGGAGTGGAGGCGCAAGGCAGGGAGACCGCGGTGGAGACGAGCAGAGACAAGCCAGGGGATGAGAACGTTAGGCACGTCGGCCTTCCGCTCCAGGGGAAAGACGGTAGTGTAACGTGTGAAGTCGTCGACAAGCACTAGGAAGAAGCGCTCGCGACGCGGCCCATGGACCGGGGCTGGGCCCCAGACGTCCATGTGCAGAGTCTGCAGGGGTGCGGTGGTAGGGGGAAAAGAGGAGGAGTGAGGGGCACGGCGGAGCCGGCCCTCGACACAAGGCGTGCACGGTGGGGCGGGGGATAAGGGAAACTCAGGGAACGAACCGGGGAGACCAAGGACGAGACCGTGCTGGGACATGTGACGCAGACGCGGGAGTGCAGGGTGACCAAGGCGGTGGTGCCAAAGGAGAGTCGGATGAGTGAGGGACCGACAGGAGCACGCAGCAGCAACCTGGGTGGACGCAGCTACCTGGGGGGAAGACCCAGCCGGGGACGTCGCGGTGTCAAGTGTGAACAGGCCGGACACCGGGTCCCGGGGGAAAGTGGTAAGGGGGGCACCAGTGGCGGCCTCGGTACAGACAGCATACCGCTCGTGACCAGGGAACGTAGTGGTGACGCCAAGGTCCTGGAGGCAGCCGACACCAACTAGGTTCCTGGAGAACGAGGGGATATGCAGACCGGTGAGCGAACCTGAAGGAACCGCCGGACAGGGAAGGGAGGTGGAACTGCGGGCAAAGACGGGACCACCGGAGGGGTCAGCAAGAGTAACTGCAGCAGGAACAGGCAGCGGCGTCAGCGTCGTGGAGTCGCGGAAGAAACACCGGGAGGCGCCAGAGTCCAAGGTGAAGGAAAGCGCAGCAGTCGCGCGGGGCGACAGTGAAGCGGTGGAAGCACCGAGGCTAAGCAAAGCAGGAGATCCTACGCCTGACGCAGCAGGGGAGTCTACGCTAGGCACAGCTACACTAGGCAACACGGGGTAATAAGAGGGAAGCACACTAGAGTCATCGGCATACATCACATGCAAGGCTGCTACAATGGCATCCATGTCCAAGTCAAAAATCCGAATGCTACGCCTAAGCAAGCTGTGCCAGTCCGGGAGGTCGGGCGCCGGGCCAAAGCGCTGGCGGAACAGGTCGTCCAGACGACGAAAACAGCGAGGAGTGGAATGACCGATCTTACCGCAAACGAAGCCGCGGCGAGGACCGGTCTGGATCTGGTACTGACAGGGCCCGCCTCCAGAACCACCACCCGGTGCACCACCACGCGCACGACCACCACCAGCTCCAGGCCACCCAGGCGGGAGAGCACTCGCCGGCCTCGTCTGCGGCGGCTGCTGCGGAGGCTGCTGCTGCTGCGGCGGCTGCTGCGGCTGCTGCGGAGGCTGCTGCTGCTGCGGCTGCTGCAACGGTGGAGGCAGCGGGGCAGCTGGACCGGGCAGGGTCCCCACGTCCGCACCGGCACCGGACGACCCGCCTCCACCACTACCCCCACCCGCACCCCCGCCACCTCCGCCGCTCCCAACCTTGGGGCGGCGGCCCTTCCCCGAGCGGGACTGCACTGCAGCAGCAGTCTCAGCCACAGCGACAGAGCCGTCGGAGAAGGTACACTGAGCGGGGGCACAACCCTGAAAGATAGGGACCGGTACTGTACCGCTCGCCTGGGCTATGGAGCGGTGACGAGTCTCTATGGCAGTCAGGGTGTCAACAAAGTCGGTGAGGGTGAGAGCAGCAGGGTGGATGCTAAGGAACTGGTCGCGGGCGGCGGCAAGGCGGTCAGGGAGGCGGGTGGCAAGGAGGTAGAGGGTAGAGGTCATGGGAGGCTGGTGGACTCTAAGCTGTGCATCAGTGCAGGCAGCGCGCCAGGCCTCATCTATCGAGCGCAGGTGGGCAGCGAGGTCAGAGACAGTGGGGAAGGACGCCAGGTCAGGAAAGAGCAGGGGGAGGATCAGGCGACCCACTGAGGCAGCAGGAGGGGTAGAATAGCGCTTGATGACAGCATCGAGGTAGGCCTGGGCGGTAGTAATGGTTCTAAAGCGAGGGCGCTCAAGGGGGGGGAGGGCATTGCTAATGGCGAGCTGAGCAAGGGCATCGCGGGAAAGCCAGACAGAGCGGGCAAGGGCAGCGGCGGCAGTGGACTCGCGCTCAGCGGGCGTGGGATCAGCAGGCAGCACAGCAGGGGGGTCAGGGCAGGGGAGCATACCGTCTAGGTGTGCAGAAAGCGGGTGGCCGTCCTGCCGCTGACCAGTGAGGTGGCGGCGAAGGTCAGCCAACCACGCCTCGAACTCCAGAGGCTGACCCTCAGCATCAAAACGAAGCTCAGCAGCCATGAGGGGCAGTGGAGGACAGTGGAGTGCGGTGTAGTGCTGTGCAGTGCGGTGCAGGGCGGTGCAGTGCGGTCCAGTGCGGTGCAGTGCGATGCAGTGCGGTGCAGTGCGGTTCAGTGCGGTGCAGTGCGGTCAGTGCGGTTCAGTGAGGTGCAATGCGGTGCAAGGCGGGGCAGGAAAGTGCAGGAGGGTGCAAAGTGGTGCGGGGAACGGGGGACAGTACCAGGAAGTATGGAGGGCCGGGGCAGGCGCGACGGGGCCGGGCAGGCGCGACGGGGCCGGGCAGGCACGTCGAGGCCGGGCAGGCGCGACGGGGCCGGGCAGGCGCGACGAGGGGCCGGGCGACTGCGACGGGGCCGGGCGGCAGCGACGAGGCCGGGCGGCTGCGACGGGGCCGGGCGGCTGCGACGGGGCCGGGCGGCTGCGACGGGGCCGGGCGGCTGCGACGGGGCCGGGCGGCAGCGACAAGGCCGGGCGGCAGCTACTAGGCCGGGCGGCAGCGACAGGGCCGGGCGGCAGCTACGAGGCCGGGCAGGACACAGCAGGGCCGGGCGGGGGCGACGGGGCCGGGCGGGCGCGACGGGGCCGGGCAGGTGCGACAGGGGCCGGGCAGCTGCGACAGGGGCAGGGCGGGCGCCACGGGGCCGAGAGGCCGCGACAGGGCCGAGCTGGGGCGACGGGGCCGAGCAGGGGCGACGGGGCCCAGGAGGGTGGATACGGGGCCCAGGGAGGAGCGCGGCAGGGCCCAGGAGGGGCGCAACAGGCCCAGGAGGGGCGCTACGGGCCCAGGAGGGGCGCAATGGGGGCCCAGGAGGGGCGCGGCGGGGCCCAGGAGGGGCGCAATGGGGGCCCAGGAGGGGCGCTACGGGCCCAGGAGGGGCACTACGGGCCTAGGAGGGGCGCGACGGGGCCTGGGAGGGGGGCGACGGGGCCCAGGATGGGCGCTACAGGGCCCAGGGAGGGCGCGACGGGTCCCAGTAGGGGCGCTACGGAGCCCAGGAGGGGCGCGACGGGGCCTGGGAGGGGCGTTACGAAGCCCAGGAGGGGCGCTACGAAGCCCAGGAGGGGCGCGACGAGGCCCAGGAGGGGCGCTACGGGGCGCTACGGGGCCTGTGAGGAGCGCGACGGGGCCCAGGAGGGGCGCTAAGGGGCGCGACGGGGCCCTGGAGGGGCGCTACGGGGCCCAGGAGGGGCGCGAAGGGGCGCGACGGGGCCCTGGAGGGGCGCTACGGGGCCCAGGAGGGGCGCTAGGGGGCGCGACGGGGCCCTGGAGGGGCGCTACAGAGCCCTGGAGGGGCGCGACGGGGGCCTGGAGGGGCGTTACGAAGCCCTGGAAGGGGGGCGCGACGGGGCCTGGAGGGGCGCTACGAGGCCCTGGAAGGGGCGCGACGGGGCTAGGGGGAGGGGTCGCGACTGGGCTCAGGAGGGGCGAGGCGAGGCTAGGAGACGCGACGGGAGGAGCGGAAGCGGTAGGTGGGGGGGGGGGGGGGGGGGGGGGTCGAAACCTACTCGTGATACCATATCAAACCTAGAATTGAATAATGTGAGAGAGAGAGTACACAAACATATACCTAAATGTTGTACTCTCTAGAAGGTGACCCTATACAGTCTATACAAACATGATAACTACACATGTTTGACAGTAGGCAAGATCTGGGCGGCATGTAACAGCTGCAAATAGAAGACACCCAGGCTGCTGCTGGTAAAGCTGATGCTCGGAGGCAGTAAGTGGGGTAGTCTCAAGTGTGTGATCGGCCGAAATGTGACAAAATGGAGTGGTGAGGCCGATAGGAGCGATGGCGAAGTTTTTCGCAAGTGTTTCTGCGTACTTGCTTGCAGAAAGGTAGATGGCATCAGGGCTGCAGTCGACGTTTAACCCAAGAAATTGGGTGACATTTGAGAAATAGCCCTGGGCGTAACCCTTCGGGTGACTATACGCGCGAACCTACTGTTCACGCGTTGACTCGCTAGTGCTGACGTCATCACGCGCGTCCTTCCGTATGAGGTATCGCGCTACGAGTACAGTCTAAGTGTTACATCAGGAATGCATAAGTAAACTCTGTCTAGTATATTTCAACACAATCAAGTGTCACAAGGACTAGGTAGCTAGGGATGGTAGGAAGCCATGAAAATGGCGAGAGGGTTTAGCTAGGAGAAAGTTGACGAGAGAAAAGAGAAAGAGAATAGAAGAGAGGCATACAAGGAGCGGGGTTGTACCCTCTACAGTAGGTTTCAATAACACCCACCAAGCCTACCAATTATAAAACAAACTATACAATTAAACATTAGGAAGTCGTTTTGTGTTTTTGCATGAGTAGTGAACCCGGGCTCAACTTGACAATCATTGGGCCCATTGTACAAGTGCGTGCAACTTGTTTCAGCTCGCAAACTCTCGTTTAAAATTCCCACAGCCAGTCACATGCTTGCTCATGTTCGCTATGTACATCGCGTCCGCATTGTCTTCATGCCCTGACTCTGCCGAATGGGGCTGTCAGTCCCTTCAAAAAAATCGAGGGTCCCACGGTTTCAAGCTGGACCCACCTTCACTAAAAGAGTGACTTCTCAAGATTTCCAGCGTTTCAGAATGTACCCTTAGGCCACAGTATTGAAATCGGGAACCACCCTGAGGAATCAGTATGAACATAAGCGGCCAACCCTGACTGCTACACGCTTGTTTGGGGGCTTGCCCTAAGGATGCCTAGAATCCTATCTGAGGCCCTGGCCAGAACACAAACTTGATATGGAGGAACTTCACATACAACATATTAGCAACGCATACCGCATGTAATCCATCAATCCTTGTGAAGCTTAGCTTCTGTTTCTCTATGGCGCAAAATATACCATCTGGAATACATCTGAAGAAAGATGGCAAGGTGCGCTTTTACCAGTGCAAGGAACAACACGGCACCCATGATAACTAATGGGGCTGTGCAACGAAACAACAATGGGTGGCCGGCAGGTATGAAAGAGGCTATCAACGGAGTGACAACTCGAATCACCTGTGGAAACACGACGTACGTACCAGGAAGGGGAATTGTAACGAGGGGAAATTGATTCAAATGGTCACTTGAAGGCTCTGATGCCAGGAAACCCATGTTGACGGAATGGCACCATGGATGGCACCATGGATGGCACCGTATGTGGCGTGCACAGAGCAGCATGAAATAGGTCACTCTCTGCACCGATGGAAAGCTCTCCTCACGTGAACCACCCGTCACGCAACTCACCATGCATGCGGGCCCAAGAGGCACGACGCTCATGGTGCAACCGTGCAGCAATGTATGCTACAGTGCACCCACCCGCCGCCCGACATGCAATCACATAATGCGATGCGGCTCACAATGCATGCCGGCCCAAGGGGCGCGATCCTCATGGTGCAACCGTGCAGCAATGTACGCTACAGTGCACCCATCCCCTTCCGACATGCAATCGCATTATGCGATGCGACTCACAATGCATGCCGGCCCAAGGGGCGCGATCCTCATGGTGCAACCGTGCAGCAATGTACGCTACAGTGCACCCATCCCCTTCCGACATGCAATCACATTATGCGATGCGACTCACAATGCATGCCGGCCCAAGCGGCACAAAGCTCATGGTGCGATGCACATGGTGGCAGCGGTCCTCCAGAACCTGGGGTCGAGGGTGTGTGTGGGGGGGAGGGGGGGGGAGGGGGGGGAGAGATGGGACAGGAGGTGTCCCGTGCTGTGGTGCACATGGTGGCAGCAGTCCTCCAGAGCCTGGGGTGTAGTGTGCACGAGTGAGGAGGGCAGAAACGGGAGCGGTGCAGAGCGCGAGGCGAGAGAAGGGATTGCGAGAAGGGGCCACCACCGAGCCGCGTCCTCCGAGGGTGAACGACGGCACTTGCTTAAGGAGCCTGACACCAGAACTGAGATACGGAGAGGGTGAGACGGGAAGTCTTGGATTGGAATGGGTTGCCTGTCTGTTGGGAAAGAGAAGAGTAACTGTCTGCGGAACCTATTTTTGAAGCGCCTAAAAAGGGGACTCCTCACACGTGGGAGAGAGAAGAGTACCTGTCTGCAGAGGGAGAGGAGGAAGTCGGAGTATGTCTCCGGCTTGATCTCGTTGAACTTAGCCAGGAAGGAGTGCTTTAAGTTGTCCACCAGCATCTCACAGCCCCACACCGTGCACACGTTCTGCATGGCAGTAAGCACGTGAGCAGACATGCAGGCACACGGGAAGAGGCACGGAGGAGTATAAAGCACACGTGTTGGGATGGGTATGGAGTGTTTGAGATTGGCAGGCGCTTGCATGGATATAAGGTAGGCTTTGAGACGTCTCAAAACCAACCTTATATCACGTGGCACTTGCATGGACGTACGACGAGCTCATTGGCACGTAATCAGTGGCCCATACTAGCCGTGAAACAATGTAGAGCTTGCTTGCATGCCACGTGCTTGCATGGCTCGTGCTTGCATGGCTCGTGCTTGCATGCCACGTGCTTGCATGCCATGTGCTTGCATGCCATGTGCTTGCATGCCACGTGCTTGCATGGCTCGTGCTTGCATGGCTCGTGCTTGCATGGCTCGTGCTTGCATGCCACGTGCTTGCATGCCACGTGCTTGCATGGCTCGTGCTTGCATGGCTCGTGCTTGCATGCCACGTGCTTGCATGGCTCGTGCTTGCATGCCACGTGCTTGCATGCCACGTGCTTGCATGGCTCGTGCTTGCATGCCACGTGCTTGCATGGCTCGTGCTTGCATGGCTCGTGCTTGCATGCCATGTGCTTCCATGCCACGTGTTTGCATGGCTCGTGCTTGCATGCCACGTGCTTGCATGGCTCGTGCTTGCATGCCACGTGCTTGCATGCCACGTGCTTGCATGGCTCGTGCTTGCATGCCACGTGCTTGCATGGCTCGTGCTTGCATGGCTCGTGCTTGCATGGCATGTGCTTGCATGGCATGTGCTTGCATGGCTCGTGCTTAGGAAATTACCCAAACAAAGAAGGCCAGGGTGGTGCCCTGACCCTTCGCCACTGTAACGAATCACACTATGTCTGCATGTACATACCAGTTGGCATTTACTAGCAAGCACAGGAGCAAGCAAAGAAGTGACATTTGAGTCAACTCAAAAGTCATAGCGCTATGTCTGCATGCATGTACATA